TTCGGTGGAGCTCCCTATGGGGCCACGAAACGTGTGAGGGGTGTGCCGAAGTGGGTGTGGGGACGCACGCGGACGGCGGCACTGGGGCCTTCGGTGGAGCTCCCTATGAGGCCACGAAACGTGTGAGGGGTGTGCCGAAGTGGGTGTGCGGGACGCATGCGGGCGGCGGCACTGGGGCCTTCGGTGGAGCTCCCTCTGGGGCCACGAAACGTGTGAGGGGTGTGCCGAATTGGGTGTGCGGGACGCATGCGGGCGGCGGCACTGGGGCCTTCGGTGGAGCTCCCTATGAGGCCACGAAACGTGTGAGGGCTGTGCCGAATTGGGTGTGCGGGACGCATGCGGCCGGCAGCACTGGGGCCTTCGGTGGAGCTCCCTATGGGGCCGCGAAACTTATGAGGGGTGATGGTGCTGATGACGGCGATGATGATGACGATGATGGTGATGATTACGGGTGAGAGGAGGAGGGAGGGGGGGAAGGAGGATGAGGGAGGACGCGGGGCGCTGTCTCTTCAAAACGAGGACCCAACACCACAGGATGGTTGGGAACAGTGGAATCAAAAACTCAACTGTTGACATTATGTGTAAAAGACACAGCGCGGAGAAGGCCAGGCATCTTCCCGACGGAGACATGCGAAAGAGGAGAGTAGTACTCATATTGTCTAATTGTGGAGGTGGAGGAAGAGGTGCTCCGAGAACTTGCCTCCAAGATGGCTGAAGAGAACTGAAGACGGTTGAAGGTGGCCCCCACCATGCCTCCAAGAGGCCCCTAGAGGGCCACAGTACGGCCCCATTTGATTTCGGAACACCCTCGGGACCCCCCCCCAAAAAAGCCGAAGGAAAATCAATAACTTGCCCATTGGCACCTATTTGCTTCCGATGGGCTTTTGACGCCTCCAGGCTGGGCTGGCTGGGGGGGAGGGCGGTGCCGGGGCCGTGCGTGTGTGCCGAAATAGACTTGACGGGGCTGAGGGGGCGCGCTGGTTGACGGGTGAGGAGGAGCTGGGCTGGCTGAGGCGGCGGGGGATGGTGCCGGGGCCATGCGCGAGTGCCGAAATAAAATGGTCGGGGCGGAGGGAGCGCGCTGGCTGGGGAGAGAGGGGGAGCTGGGCTGGCTGGGAGGGGGGCGGGCGGGCGGCGCTGGCGATGTGCGTGCATGTCGAAGCAAATGGTCGTCAGGGCTCCCTACACCTGGACACGCTAGACCAGGACATCCAACATACCTTGAAATGAATGTTTCCCGACGGTGGCACGCAAAAAAACTGCACAGCACAAGAAGGTGGCACGGACAAAAAACTGCATTGCAACATTCTCGGAATAAGCCCGGACAAAGGCCATGAAAGCCTGCGAAACCTCCCCCTAGACCCAGAGAAAGACCCGAATCCTGCATCGGGGAGACGTAAGACCCGGATACGGGGGACTCGGAAATCCCCGACGAGGTCGTCAAAAAAATGACGAGGCCGAGCCTGGATTTTGACGAGGCCTCCCGCTGCAGACATCCCACGAAACTCCTCCTCGTCAAAATCCGAGGCGCGGTCGTCAAAAAACGATGGCGAACCCGAGTCCTGGCAAACCCGGGTCTTACGCTCCCCCGACTGCAGTGCAACAGCAGAAGAATGCACTGGACGACCAAGCGCAGCAAAAAAAATGCACTGGACGACCACAAACTGACTTTGCAACAAAGCGTGTCGTTTTCCCGACTTGCCAGTGTTCTGGTTAGTCTTTCTCCTGGTCTCGGGGGGGCTGCTGTCGGCGAAGGGGGCGCGCCAGAAATGGGGCGAGGGAGAGCTGGGCTGGCTGAGGGGAGAGGCGCTGCTTGTGCCGAAATCAAGTGGTCGGGGCGGAGGGGGCGCGCTGGCCAGTGGATGCTGGCTGGGGGGGGGGCGGTGCTGGCGCCGTGCACGCGTGCCGAAATAAGAAATGGTCGGGGCAGGGGAGTCGCGCTGGCTGGGGGGACTTCTGCAAGATCCGGCGCTTGACCCCCATTGGCATTGACCACCGTCTCTTGAGCCCCGAGCCGGGCTGGCTGGGAGGTGGTGGGCGGTGCCGGCGCCGTGCGCGCGTGCCCAGATACGTGGTCGTGGCCAAAGGGGCCGCGCGGACCGTGGGGCGAGGAGGAGCTGAGCCGACTGGGGGCGGCGCGGTGCGCGAGCCGTGCGTGCGCTCCAGAATGCAATGGTCGGGGATGATGGGGCGCGCGTTAGGTCGGGCATGTCCCCCTACAGGGGGATTTTGGACGAACAATTGAAAATACCCCAAAACATATTCAGAATTATCCTGGCGAAGGTCCCAACCATATGCAATTGTGGGTACCGTAATTGTGAATATCTGCTTCGGTGAAGCTCCCTATGGGGCCACGAAGCGCTGCACTGGGCGGGGGGGAACGCTGTGCTGTGTGGGTGGTGTGCCGAATTGGGCTTCCAGGACGCATGCGGACGGTCCCACTGAGGGCTTCGGTGGAGCTCCCATGGGGCCACGAAGCGCTCTACTGAGTGAGTGAAAATGCCAAGTGGGGTTACCGGGACGCATGCGGACGGTCCCACTGGGGGCTTCGGTGGAGCCCCCTATGGGGCCACGAAACGCTGCACTGCGCGGGTGAAAATGCCAAATTACATGTCCCGGACGCATGCGGACGGTGGCACTGTGGCCTTGGGTGGAGCCCCCTATGGGGCCACGAAGCGCTGCACTGGGTGGGTGAAGATGCCAAATTGGGCTTCTGGGACGCATGCGGACGGGGGCACTGGGGCCTTCGGTGGAGCTCCCTATGGGGCCACGAAACGCTGTACTGGGTGGGTGAAGCGCAGGGAGGAGTGGGAGGGCCACGAAACGCTGTACTGGGTGTGCGGGACGCATGCGGACGATAGCGCTGGGACCTTCGGTGGGGCTGCCTATGGGGCCACGAAGCGGTGTACTGGGTTTGCGGGACGCATGCGGACGGTAGCACTGGGACCTTCGGTGGGGCTCCCTATGGGGCCACGAAACGGTGTACTGGGTGGGTGAAACGCAGCGAGGAGGGGGAGGGGGGCCACGAACGCTGTACTGCGCGTGCGGGACGCATGCGGACGGTAGCACTGGGGCCTTCGGTGGAGCTCCCTATGGGGCCACGAAACGCTGTACTGGGTGTGCGGGGCGCATGCGAACCGTAGCACTGGGACCTTCGGTGGAGCTCCCTATGGGGCCACGAAACGCTGCACTGGGTGTGCGGGGCGCACGCGGACGGTAGCACTGGGGCCTTCGGTGGAGCTCCCTATGGGGCCACGAAACGGTATACTGGGTGTGCGGGACGCATGCGGACGGTAGCACTGGGACCTTCGGTGGGGCTCCCAGTGGGGCCACGAAACGCTGTACTGGGTGGGTGAAACGCAGGGAGGAGGGGGAGGAGGGCCACGAAACGCTGTACTGGGTGTGCGGGACGCATGCGGACGGTGGAGGAGGAGGGGGAAGAGGAGGAGAGAAGGAGAACGCGGGGACCCTCTCTTCAAAACGAAGACCCAACACCACAGGATGGTTTGGAAATATCCAGAAGTAGCCAGAAAATTATCAAAACAAATCGTCCCCAGACTATTTTTTAAGCTATTCTTGAATCTGTAAAGGGACAGGCCCGACTTAAGGCGCGCGGGCTGGGGGGAGAGGGGGAACTTGGCTGCCTTGGGGGGGGGGCGGGCGGCGCCGGCGCCGTGCGTGCGTGCCGAAACAAGGAGTCGTGGTAGAGGGGACGCACAGAATGGGGGGCGAGGGAGAGCTGGGTTGGCCGGCGGGGGGGAGCGGTGCAAGTGCCGTCGTGCGTATGTGCCGAAACAACATGGTCGTGACGGAGGGGGTGCGCTGGCTAGTGGGTGAGGAGCTGGGCTGGCTGGGGGGGGCGCGGTGCCAGTGCCGTGCGCGCGTGCAAGAATAAAATGGTCGGGGCGGAGGGGGCGCGCTGGCTGGGAGGCGAGGGGGAGCTGGGCTGGCTGGTCGGGGTGTGGGCGGTGCCAGTGCTGTGCGCGCGTGCCGAAATGCGTGATGGCGGAGGGGGCGCGCTGGCTGGGGGAAGAGGGAGAGCTGGGCTGGCTGGGGGGCTGGGGGTGGGGAGGCGGTGCCGGTGCCGGGCGCGCGCGCCGAAACAAAGTGGTCGGAGCTCGAGACATCCTGTGCAGGATAGCTAGAAGCCCAAGCAAGGACCCAAGAAAACCCAGAGAGGCCTCCAAGACGGCCGCCGAAGGCGGCCGCCTGCCAAGATGGTCCCATATGGTCCGGGCGGGCCTCAGACCTCCAAGAATGACCAAAAGGCCTGGAATGAAACCCAAGCTATGAAAAATATTGCCCCTCCCTAGTGTCTCCCCCTTTTCGTTTCCGCACCAGCTGGGTGAGCATGCAACCAAACAAAACCACATCAGTACACAGCGGACTAGCATGGAAACACAACGCATGCAGCAGACACACGCATCTCTTACACATGACGCAACATGCGCACACACCATGCATAAAGGACACGCGTAACGACCATTCACAAGCAATGCCGTAACATAGCACGCTGTAGGGTCACACGCGACTGACTTCCGAACCACTCGTTGCAGCTACGTGCTGAGGATCGCCCAGAACAGCACTTTGTTCCACAGCGTGGACCCCTTTCCCGAGCATGTCTTTCCATCGCCGAGCGCTTTTGTTGACGGTCCAGCGCCGATCTCAGAAATCCGCGCGGACTTCGGGACGTTTATTCCCCAACCAGTGCACTGAAAGGGTCCTAGCAAAAATTGAAAGATCTGGCGAAAGCATCCCGCCGATTTTGGTGGCCGGCTGGGTTCCCAGGTTCCCGGTTCCGGGTTCCCGGGACCCATGGTTGTTGGTTCCGGGCCGATTTCGGTGGGTTCCGGGTCTCCCTGTTGTATCGATCAAACCATCCATGGACTGGAGTTCTTCTCTGGTGTGATCGTTATGCCGCTCTCTGTTCCTCCACAGCGACGGACATCGTCGCCGTCTGACGCCCGTCGCCGAAGCAGACGAGAGGCGCCCCCGCAGGCCTCAGCTCCTTCACGTCGCCCGACTCGAACGAGCAGGGGCCACGCGACACCCCGACGTCGACGGGGTCCTGGCGCGGCGCGAGCGGCTGGCTGTCTCTGCGGCAGGCTCAGTGGCCCGTGGCGACTCGCGCGCTGGCTTCCGACACCTCGGGGCGCTCCTTCAGTCCCTGAGATTATGGCGCCCCTCTTGGTTTCGCAACGGGCGACTTCGCCTTGTTTCGGGATCCAGAATCATTACGCATCTATCCGGCTCGAAACCTTCCGCACACAGGTTGAATCGTGATTTTTGGCGATGTTGCAACTTCCCTAGCAACTTCGGATCCCAAGAGTCCCATCGCGCATACTATCCGTGTCGAATCCGCGTCCAGTCCAACACCACGTGGCTCATTCGGTTACACGCAGGAGTGGCCCTAGGCAAGAGTGACCTTTGGTGCGCGGCTTTTTGGGGGCCGCGGGGGGACCAAACTCAAGCGCGCAAGACGCTACTACCGCATCGCGTTCGGCGATCGGGGGACCCCTTGGGCCCGCACCAAAGGTCACTCTGGCGAAAGCTCACTCTTGTGTAGCCGACTCAGTCAGCCTCGACTGGTCGTGGCTATCCGACAGCACAGATCGTTCGACGTCGGCCCATTCCGGGCCACTGGCGGCTTTCGACGCTGAACGCTCCCGCCACACGAACCTACAACCGTATCTGGCCAGCCTGGAGGGGCCCGGGGACACACAAATAAACAGAGACAACTCCCAGGACTCCCCATCTTTCCCCATCTTTTCTTGAGTGCCGCACTCCCCATCCACCTCCCATCTGTTCCGCATTTTCCCCGGGAGTAGACGCGTCTCTGTGTCTGTGTGTGCTCTTGCCTCCTGACGGTATCTGGCCAGCTCCCTGGGCATCCCGAGGGCGCGGCCCTGCCTCGTGGCGTGGAGGCGCCCAGAGACGGGCCACCGACCAGCCGGCCCTACAGGGTAGAGGAGCGAGAAGCTGCGCGCACATGAGCGTCCGGAGGTCCGCACGCGGTTTGGGCCTCCGGGCACCCTCTGACCCCTTCCCGAGGGTCGTCGTCAATCGCGCCCTTCTGGCTGTCGAGCCAGTTCATCCTCGAGAGGCCGTCGTCCCAGACGGAGAGGGACATCACCATGCCGCGGGCGATGGCCTCGCCCATGGCCTTCGCTGCCGGTTCCGGCACAACAGAAGCGCCCTGCACCTTCGGGGGGCCTTGCGTGTCCAAACCGACTGCGGCACCTTCCTGCATCCGCCGCGAGTCCAGCGTGGGCGCGACACGGAGTCGACGCACCTTCGACGCGACAGGCGGCACGATGGGACACACAAGGCCCCTCCGAAGGTGCAAAGGAACAGAAAGAGCCTCGCCTGTGACTCCTGGCGTCCAGAGTCCAGGAAACGACTACTCGGTGTGATCGAAATCTGCTCGAGACTCAGCTTGCCTGCAGATCGCGAGGGAATTTCAATCCAACGGGATCCCGGCGAAGGGCTTCCAAGGCCTTCATGCCGCCGCTGGTCTTGAACGTGTCGATCCAGGGGACCGACGCGTTTTCCGTCTTGTTCTTGTCCTTGTGGGTTACGTTGAACTTCTTCACCGCCGCCCCGCAGTACTCGTCGCTCAGGGAATCCGGCCGGGGCCCCCTGCCGCCCCGAGGCGTGGCTGCCCAGACGGGGCTGGAGCACGTCCGGGGTCCCCAGGGCCCGGCGGAGGATCCCTGGCCTCCACGCCCACTGGCCCGTCTGCAATGGCTTCTGCTCAATTGCATCTGCGTGGGGCCCCCGCAGGGCCGGGCCGAGGACCCGTGGCCTCTGAGCCCCACTGGCACGATTGCGGTGGATGGCCGCATCGCTGCAACATTGTCGCCGCGCGGGCAACGCGGAAGCCGCATCGGGCCACATCAGCGAGGCATCCCTTCCTGCTCCACCCTGTGGCGCTGCGGGCCACGCGCGGGCAGTAGGCCGAGGCGGGATGCACCAGCATACGCTGCAATCTTCGCCGCCCCGATACGCAACACGCAACCCGTAGCGTGTTGACACGGAGCTGAGCACGCAGACTGAAAGCGTAGGTCTGGAGCGGTGGGTTCGCTAAAACGTGGGCCAACGAATGCCGAACCAACACGCAACGCATTAACACGGACGTATCTAACACGGTACGTGTTGCGCTTCAGCACGGGCGTATCAGTGCAACCTAGGCCGCAGTCGTACACAGGTCGCTTGCACTCGAAGCCCCGAGGCCGTGGAACGGCGCGGAGCGAGTTGAGACAGCGGCGGCTCAACATCGGTCCCTGGACCCCTCCTGGGGTCCAGACGTGGAAGTTCTGCGAGCTGCGCCCAGCCGTCCAGTGGCGACAAGCCTCTCCCTCCCCGATGGCCAACTGCCGTTTTGCCACAACGCCCCCCCCCTCCGAGTAGAATCCCAGGTGAGGGGCTGGCCAAGGCGAGCAGACAGGGATACCATCGTCTTCATCATTTGGTATCTCCAAGATTTGGGTCTAGCATCATCATCATCATCGTCATCATCATCATAATCGTCATCATCATCATCATCATCATCATCATCATCATCATCATCATCATCATCATCCTCATCCTCATCCTCATCCTCATCCTCATCCTCATTTGCATCATCATCATCAGCAGCATCATCATCACCAGCATCATCGTCTTCATCGGCATCATCATCATCACCATCACCATCATCATCTGCACCATCATCATCATCATCATCGACATCATCATCAGCATCAGCATCATCATCCGCATCGTCATCAGCATCATCATCGCCATCATCATCATCATCATCATCATCATCATCATCATCATCATCATCATCATCATCATCATATCAGCCTCTCCATCATCATCGCCAGCATCATCAGCAACACCATCACCATCATCATCATCAGCATCATCACCATTTTCATCTGCACTACCATCACTTCCACCACCATCATCATCATCATCATCATCATCATCATCATCATTATCGTCTTCGGCATCATCACCAGCATCAGCATTATCAACATAATCATCACCATGAGCATCAACATCGTCATCATCAACATCACCATGATCATCATCATCGTCACCATCATCATCATCATCATCACCAGCAGCATTATCATCATCAGCATCATCATCTGCATCGCCATCACCATCATCACCATCACAATCACCATCAGTAACATCATCATCGCCACCATCATCAACAACATGATCAGCATCACCACCACCACAATCAGCATCAGCATCAGCATCATCAACAACATGATCAGCATCACCACCACCACCACCACCACCATCATCATCATCGTCATCATAATCATCGTCACCATCAGCATCGTCATCATTATCGTCATCATCACCATCATCTATGCGGGCGGGCGGGCGCGCGGCGACGCGTCTGGCAGCCGCCCGCAGCTCGACAGAGCCCAGGGAGAGAGAAAGAGAGAGAGAGAGAGAGATAGAGCGACCGCGAGAGGAAACTTTGATGCGGACTGGGCGAGCGCATAACTTGGTCAGGCCATTTCGGGATCAGAGAAGGACCATTCGCGATGACACCCGAGACCAGCCACGCCCCCTCCCAGCCCCCCCCCTGGTGACGCTGCGATTCGTTGCGGCGTCGTCGGAGAATTAGCCACTCGAGAGAAGGCGATTCGTGGACGCTTGCTTGGGAAACATCCCGCGACATGTTGGAGTCGCCCCCCCCTCAAAAAAAAGCAACAAAAACATCCGGGGGGAACGGACACCTGCCTAGCTAACCAGAGGGTAGAAGGCCCTACCCCGTTCCAGGAGGGGGGGGGTCGAACTGGTGGGCGACTCTACTCTAATAGAAGCAACCTTAACCAGGCTCGATCCAAGTGTAATAAAATCGTACTCGGCTCGACCCATCTCTACTAGAATCTAAGGATGGACCCAGCACCACTGGGAACCTACTGTGGCTGGATCCAACTCAAGAGGATCCTACAGGGGCTCGGTCCACCTCGCATAGGATCCTAAGGAGGGTGGATCCAACTCTACAACTCGAAAAGACTTTGTCCAACCTCTAGTCAATCCTTCTAGGGCTCGAACCAGTTCTATCAAAAACGCACTTGGGTGCATACTGTGATATCATCCTGCTCGGGCTCGATCCACCTCTACTAGAAACGAAGGCTCGATCCAGGTCTGATCGAATCCGCCTGGGGCTCGACGCAGTTCTATCAAGACCCTACCAAGGCTGCATCCATCCCTACTGAAATCCTAGTAAGTCTCGGTCAAGTATACAATGCAATCGGAATCCTACGAGGGCTGGATCCAGCCCTACACGAATCCTACTCGGGCTCGATACAGCCCTCAGAGACTCCTACAGTACGGCTCGATCCACATGTAAAAGAATCCTACCAAAGCTCGGTCGTCGTCGTAGTCGTCGTCGTTGTCGTCGGCGTTGTCGTCGGCGTTGTCGTTGTCGTCGGCGTTGTCGTTGTCGTTGTCGCTGTCGATGTCGTTGCCGTTGTCGTCGTCGTCGTCGTCGTCGTCGTCGTCGTCGTCGTCGTCGTCGTCGTCGTCGTCGTCGTCATCGTCGTCATCATCGCCACCGTCGTTTCCGTCGTCATCGTCGTTGTCGTCGTCGCCGTCGTTGTCGTCGTCGTCGCTGCCCGATGGCGCCAGCGGCGGCGCAGGCTCTCGCCGTCGTCGTTTGCCATTGGGGAGGAGAGGGGGGGGTCGGCACGGTTCGACCCCCCCCCCCTGCAATTCAGGGGGGGGACCGGTTCGAACCCCCCCCCTTGCAATTCAAGGGGGGGGCTGGTTCGAACCACCCCGCCCCTTCCCAACGTCCACAGAACGGCATTCTACAGCATTCCCAGACCGCGCCAGCGCGAATCGTGACTTGACCGGCCCCCTACCACTCCCCCGCCGGTCACGCCCGTTATCGCCAAGGAAACGCACACACACACACACACACTCGAAAGTGGCGACGGCTCCACATTTCGCAGTCCCCCAGGAATGGCGAGGTCTTGGTAGGATCTGCATGTGCCCGCACTCTGGGGGCTCCTCCAGCAGCCCTCGAAAGTGGCGACGGTTTCACACTTCGCAGCCCCCCCCAAGGATGGCGATGTCCCATTTGGGCATGCGTGTGGTCCCACTGTGCGGGCTCCCCCCGCAGCTCTCGAAAGTGGTGACGGTTTCACACTTCGCAGCCCCCCGTTTGGGTCTGTGTGTGGCCCCACTGTGTGGGCTCCCCCAGCAGCCCTCGAAAATGGCGACCATTTCACACTTCGAAGCCACACCAGGGATGGCGAGGTCCCGTTTGGGTCTGCGTGTGGCCCCATTGTGCGGGCTCCCCGAGCAGCCCTCGAGAGTGGCGACCATTTCACACTTCGCAACCTCCCAGTCCCGTTTTGGTCTGCGTGTGGCCCCACTGTGCGGGCTCCCCCCGCAGCCATCGAAAGTGGCGACAGGAGGTGTCGACCCCTTTCCCAGGACTGGCTCTTCATGCTGAATCGTTGTTTGACGGTCCCGAGGGCCGGTGAAGGTACCCACAGGCCGAAAATAGCGAACAAACTCCCGGCGCGATTCTTCCATACCTCTGGGTCTTCCGCTCGGCGGTTGCCCGCGCGCATGGCGGCGCCATTTCGAAGGTTTTCGAGCGGGGCGCGGCCAACGAAAGTGGCCAAGGATGGACCGAGGAGGCAAGGATGCAAGGGTGCTCTTGGAAAGGCCGCCCCTCACTGGGCGGGTTGACTGTATCCATATCCACGCCCTCGCGGTCTGGATTCCTGGGCACGATCCCGCGGATGCGCGGTCGCACGGATGCGCTCCGCGCAGGACAATCGCGAAAGAGCGCCCCGTATCCGCGGGGTCGTGGCCCAGGGACCCAGCCCGCGAGGCCGCGGGCACAGGGCCGCCTTTCGCCCACGATCGACGCAACCCCCTTCCGCTTCTGCGTTGGCGCTACGTCCTGTGAGAGATCTTGCGGCAAGCACTCCGAGGGCACACTGGCCGTTGCCCTGAACATCCAAAGGGGCCCCAGGGGAGGAGGAGGAGGAGGAGGAGGAGGAGGAGGAGGAGGAGGAGGAGGAGGAGGAGGAGGAGGAGGAGGAGGAGGAGGAGGAGGAGGAGTAGGAGTAGGCGGAGGAGGAGGAGGAGGTGGAGGAGGAGGAGGAGGAGAAGGAGGAGGAGGAGGAGGAGGAGCCCCAGGTAGGCAACCGTGTGCGAGCCATACCCCCGCAGGTCAGACTTCTGCAGCGCGGGCCCTAGCTCGGAGCCTCGAGGGACCTCTGCAGCCAGGCGAGCCTCGGCAGGGGTCTCGGACGCCCCTGCGTCGATGGCCCCCGCAGGGGCAACACGAGGCCGATGTGGCATCACAGCAGCAATTCGGCCCCTGCCTCTCGTCCTGGGTTCGGTTTAGTGAAGTGATGAATTTCGGGGTCCTCACGTGGGAAAACACATCACTTCACTCATCTGGGGCCCCTGGGGCCTTAGTGGGCCCTGGGGCCCAAAATCAGTGAAGTGATGGTTTTCGGGCCTCGGAGGCAAGGGCTGGCAGGCAGTCGCGGACCAGGGCTGCTGTGGGCCCCCAGGGCCGTCGGGGGAACAAGACATGCACCGGAAACTGGGGCATATACATTACCAGTGGCGGGCTGACTTTCAGTCCCAGAGCTTTTTGAGGGTCGGGGACGACGTCGGAGTGGTGTGGTGTACACTATTTTCCCTGTTTTCCCGGGGAAACGGCGAAACACGTATACACCAGGATCCCGTATACACCAGGATCCGCTTTCTTGTGCGAATTTTTGTGCGGGGCCGTAGAAGACGTCGGTGTATAGAGTCCGGTCCCTTGACATGCCCGTGCGGGGACACCTGGTTTCGGCCCCGCCGCCGGGCCCAT